GTGATTTTCACTCACCTCATAGTTCTAGCCGACCTGTGACAATGAGACTGTCACAGGTCGGCTCAGTAGATCGGGAGGTGAGCGAACACATACCGGCCTTCGCTCACCTCTCGATCCTGTCACGGCTCCCTGCCGTGACAGGGGATGAGCTGGATTCCCCCCTCCCCGCCCCGATCCTCCAGCGCTGACTGGTGGATCGGACGGGGAGGGGGCGGGTACAGCTGGCTCTGCCTCTAGATAGGCAGAGCCAGCTGTCAGTCACGCTGCTGGGCGGATCCCGGCATAATTGTCGGGATCCACTTCAGCTCCGGCGTCTCAGTATACCGTGAGCAGCAGCTCGCAGTATACGGAGCTTAGGGTGACGGGAGGACGCTAGTTTGTGTCCTCCCGTTACCCTAAGGAGAACTATGGGGAAAAGCCTTAACCCCATAGTTCTCCTTTAAGTTTGCTGACCTGCGTAACACGCATGGCCACACCTCCAACAAAATCACTAATGCGCATGTGCCCTCTGATAACACATTCAACAAGAGAAAGAAGTATTTCCAACTGACATCAGCGCTCATGGGCGCTGACGTCATAATCTTCGCGGGTCACACTGGGGATACTGAGTGACGCAGTCCCTGACAAAAGGGGGTGTGAAGATGGTTTGTAGATAAATTAGTATTAAACCCTCAAACGTTTTTTTCTTTGAATAATGAATCCGGACCAAACAAATATACATGGCCCAGCAAAGTATTTCTTTATATTTTTGTCTAAGGACTTACAGTCATCATGTTTCTGAACAGATCCAACTCTCTCAGCTCGGCTTCCCAGAACTTCCTGTCCAGTACAAGATCACAACACAGAGCAGTCTCCAGCAGCCGTCCAGCTTGGTGTGGGGAGCAGGGGGGGAGGAGAGTGACTTGCTTTGCTGTGCTTTGTGGAGACACACACAGCTCACTAGCACACACAAGGGTTGCCCCCCATAGGACCCTCCAAGGGAAAGGAGCTCACCCTAACACAGGATATCAGGACCAGTGCTCAGGGGATCGGCTGATTCTGCAGGAAACTAAAACTAAAGCTGAAAAGGGTACATGAGCTACTTTGTTACGTTTATCAGACATTGGGGAACCCATTACAATGAACGTGCTGCGCTACGTGCAACAAATGCATAAAACATGCTCCCAGTGTTGGGGGAGGGGTAAACAACAATAGTGTAGTGAAGTGAACTTAATTTTGGTTGCCCCTGTCTGCCTGACATGTTGTGTCCGGGTTTCTGCTGCCATGAAACCCGGACACAGCATTCAAAACCCGGACTGTCCAGGTGAATCCTGGACAGGTGGCAACCCTACTATCAGCAGGGGCCGGATTTCCCACAAGGCCAACCAAGGCCCGGCCTTGGGGCAGCAGGGAGTATGGAGTTCCTATCTCCCGATGCCTGAGGACATGCAGTTCCGGGCTAGTAATTGTTTTCTACATTTACCCCTTTTTTGGGCAAGCAGAACTAAATGTACAGCGGGGAAGCCGCACCTTGTATTGTACAAGTGATCTCGGCTATGTTTGGGGGGGGGGTGTTGGCGGGTAGGGGAGCGCATTGAGGAACCTGGCCTTGGGGCAGCAGAGAAAGTAAATTCTAAATCCGGCCCGGTCTATCAGGGTTAGGTCAGGAAGATCAGATCAGGATCATTATGGTTTTGTGCTGATAGCAGCAGGCAGAGAACGATCCCTACACTATATACATTGGATTCCTTATATTATATGTCGGGATTGATAACACAATTCCTTTACACATAAAAGCAGACTGGTTCTCTTTATATATAGACATAATGAATTCAAGCAGGCACTGTACAGAGCTATATCAGTGTATCTCCTAGCAGGCCATGACATGCTGGTATTTGTAGTCCCGCAGGAGCTGGGTTGTCTCTATAGGTCAGCGTCGGAAGATGTAACATGAATCACAAGTGATGTATCCGCTCTGCCTCGCAGTACGCATGCGCCACTCGCAGTATAGGAAGCGTGCGTCTCCCAGGCAGCACAGCCTGACAGGCAGAGAAACCAATGCTCGTCTACGCCCCTCTCATTGAACCCTACCTAGCGCACGTAACTGCCTGTTCCGCTGGCGTCGCAGCCAATCAGCGGGGGAGGCGTGGCTTTCGGAGGAAGTGCCCTATCCCTGTCAGACGGTGCAGCCTGGCAGGTCGTTGTTGTTGTGACGGAGTGAGGGGAAGCTGCTGGCCGGTGTGATGGGGAAGAAGGACAAGTCTGATAGAGGTACAATGGGGGGGACCACTGCCGTGCATTGTCAGCATGCCATGGGGCTACCCCAGGAGAGGCTGACAGTATGCTGAGACTTTGCTTACCACGTTAGAGGCTGCTGGGAGTTGTAGTCAGAGAATGCTGGGACCTGTAGTGTCTCATCAAAGGCTATCAGAGTATGCTGGGAGTTCTAGTCAGAGAATGCTGGGACCTGTAGTGTCTCATGAAAGGCTATCAGAGTATGCTGGGAGTTGTAGTGACTCAGCAGATACTGACATTGCATGCTGAGAGTTTTAGTGTCTCGGCAGAGACTGTCAGAGCATGCTGGGAGTTTTAGTGTCTCGGCAGAGACTGTCGGAGCATGCTGGGAGTTTTAGTGTCTAGGCAGAGACTGTCGGAGCATGCTGGGAGTTTTAGTGTCTCGGCAGAGACTGTCAGAGCATGCTGGGAATTTTAGTGTCTCGGCAGAGACTGTCGGAGCATGCTGGGAGTTTTAGTGTCTCGGCAGAGACTGTCAGAGCATGCTGGGAGTTTTAGTGTCTCGGCAGAGACTGTCGGAGCATGCTGGGAGTTTTAGTGTCTCGGCAGAGACTGTCAGAGCATGCTGGGAGTTTTAGTGTCTCGGCAGAGACGGTCGGAGCATGCTGGGAGTTTTAGTGTCTCGGCAGAGACTGTCTGAGCATGCTGCGAGTTTTAGTCCCACAGCAGGAACAGCTGGCTGTAGTTACTTTATTATTGAAATATTAAAGCTCATCTCCAGGTAAAACATTTTTGGGGAAGGGTTGGGGGACCTCTGTCAGGTTCAGTGCTGTCAGCGTCCCCATTGGGGAGATTTCTGTTCTCTTCCTGTTCTGTTTGCACCCTATAACTGGAACAGGAAGTGAAGGAAAATCTCCCTTATGAGGCCTGATAGAGCTTCCACACAGTACTAGAGAATGTGTCTTTATTGATACCTGCAGTATCTATGGGGGAGGGGAATTGTCCTCACTTCCTGTCCAGTATGACACCCACCTGTTCTGGTGACAACGATGGGCCCTCACCTCGCTTTATGGGGATTTCCTCTTACTTCCTGTTACATATCTGGGACAGGAAGTGCAGGTAACTTTCTCCAGTAGGGCACAGACAGCAGAAAATAAACTTCGGAAATGCACAAAGCTTAATATTTCCCTTTCCCCCCCATTGTTTCAGACAAGAAGAAATCGAAGAAGCGTCACTATGATGAGGATGAGGATGACGACGACGAACTGCCCGGCAACGACCAGGAGGCCGTGCCCTCTGCCGCCGGGAAGCAGGTGGATGAAACCGCCACAAAAGTGGACGAGTATGGAGCTAAAGATTATCGATCGCAGATGTCGCTGAAGGCGGATCACTCGTCCCGTCCGCTGTGGGTGGTAGGTGACTCCTTCTAATGGAAGTATGGGGGCCGCCAGTGCTGACTCCGCCTGGCACCCTGCCTCAGTACTCCCCCCCCCCCAATGCAGACCGCCCACATGTGATGCTGAACCTCCATGATTGCAAGTACTAAAATTCAAAGAGGAAACGGGGCCAGGGGCAGTCCGGCTGGGGAGGGAGGTGCAAGATGATGCTGGATGTTCTTCAGACAGTAGGTGAGGCGGGCTCTATCTGACTTGCTGCAGCTTCTAATGCACATTGTGAGCAGCTCCCAGTGTGCAGTGACATCAGAGGAGGCGGTACAACTATACTAGACTGAAGGGAAGGACGGAGGTCAGAAGACTGGAGGGGAGGACGGAGGTCAGATAGAAGACTAGAGGGGAGGACGGAGGTCAGATAGAAGACTGGAGGGGAGGACGGAGGTCAGATAGAAGAGTGAAGGGGAGGACGGAGGTCAGATAGAAGGCTGGAGGGGAGGACGGAGGTCAGATAGAAGGCTGGAGGGGAGGACGGAGGTCAGATAGAAGGCTGGAGGGGAGGACGGAGGTCAGATAGAAGACTGATGCATGGGAGTTATGTCATCCTGGGCCAACCAATCAAGATGGCTGAAGATTCTGAACCTGGAAGTTATTCAAATAATATCTGACCTCTGTACTTCCTTCCTCCAAAATAAGTGTCACTGGGAACCATCTGCCGGCTCCTCCCCTCCCCCTCCTCTCTTCGTATTCTGCTTTTCCATTAGAGTTCTTCTTTCATTTGTTGTCTCTTCTCAGGCACCGGACGGTCACATCTTCCTGGAAGGTTTCTCCCCCGTCTATAAGTACGCGCAGGACTTCCTGGTGGCCATCTCCGAGCCGGTCTGCAGACCTCAGCACGTTCACGAGTATAAGCTCACGGCGTACTCTCTGTACGCGGCGGTCAGCGTGGGCCTGCAGACCAGTCACATTATCGAGTATTTACAGAAGCTCAGCAAAACCGGCGTCCCGGAGGGCATCGTACAATTCATCAAGGTGAGTGCCGCTCAGACTCCGCCTCCTGTGTTTGTTACATAGATACATCGTATTTGAGGTTCAGTAAAGACAGGTCCATCGAGTTCAATGTTTGTGTGTGTGTGTACGGGTCTGTGTATGTGTGTGTGTGTGTGTACGGGTGTGTGTGTGTGTGTGTGTGTGTGTGTACGGGTGTGTGTGTGTGTACGGGTGTGTGTGTCCGGGTCTGTGTGTGTGTGTGTCTGCGTGCGTGGGTG